CCACCCCGCCCCCATTAGCATCTAAGCAATTAAGGGAAATTGCTCATTCCCTAAAAGGCAAGAGAAATCCTCCTTAACGGAACAGTGGTAATGAAAACCATCAGCGCTCTTCCATTATTGAGTACATTACCCCAGCATGCGAAGGATTCTCTTGGGGGGAGGGGGGGCTCCGATGTACTTAAACTACTCTGAGGCTCACTCGAGGGACCGAAAATCATACGGATTTGATTACCACTTCATTGCAAAGGGGCTAATTTGTTCGGGCTTAGCAAAGGTTTTTGGGTTTTTTTTACCGTTTATCATAAAATTAGAAGAGAAACACAAAGCCCGGGGCTTCCAGGCAAAGGTGCGCTCGCAACGCGTGGCCGGCGTGGGGAGTAACGTAAGTTGGCTTTCAGAACGGGACCTAATTTTAGGGGCTCCGGAAATAAACTGCAAAGCTGATGAGATCAGCAGAGACATGACGAGGGAGAGACGGGGAGCAAGAAAGAAAGGGTTCCTTCACAAAATTTATCGTGGTCTATTTGTGACAGCAGTGTTCTGTACGACTCCCAGATGGACAATCGGTTTTTTAATGCGGCTTACTGCTTTTTCAAGCCTCTCACAGGATATGTGATAGACGCCAGGCAACTCCTCCTGGGGTAATAAGACTCCCGAAGCAACAGGAGTTGTTGTTTCAACTCTAATGGACTGATGTTGCGTGAAAAAGCCACACCTTTCGGTGACTATACCCTCCCTGTGTGTATAATAAGGCAGCTGAAACCTGTTCACAGCTTTAAGATGGCTGGGTGCAACAGAATAATTTGGCTTTTGGAGTTGCCAGATCAAGGCACATTTGGACAGAGAGCCATCCCTAAGCCCGGTCATAAAATGTGAGGTTCTGACGCCAGCTACAGAGATTTAGAAAAGAACGGCGGGAGACAGACTGGCGGATCGGCACTCCACACCCTTCCAAAGAAAAGAGCTGTTTTATGGGGGCGAAAGAGTCTGGAATGAAAGAGAAGTCCGAAGTTCTTGCCCAGTAATTTAAGAGAGTTGTTTACCCGGGTTTTAGTTCTTCTGTTAAGAGAGTTGTTTACCCGGGTTTTAGTTTTTCTGTTCTAGTTTCTGAAAAGGACCGCTGTGTTCAGAGACCACGACCCAATCACGATCTGCCCCCGACATGAACAAGCGGCAAAGCCTACGCCTCGCAAAAAGATAGGCATATTAGATAGGCATATGGAGCAGAGGTCCATCAGTGGCTATTAGCCACAAGGTATAGATAGGGGCTCTGGGGCAAGTGATGCTCTATCTTCTTGGTGCTGGGGGGGGGGGCAACAGTGGGAGGGCTTCTAGTGTCCTGGCCCCACTGGTGGACCTCCTGATGGCACTGGTATTTCTGGCCACTGTGTGACACAGAGTGTTGGACTGGATGGGCCTTTGGCCTGATCCAACATTGGCGTCTCTTATGCTCTTATGTTAAATCCCCTCTGCCTCCTCTTGCCTGCCACAGATGAAGACTTCCCGGCATCTCGCCCGCAAACGAAACCGTGGTTTGAAGCCCCAGTCTGCGGGCGAGACGAAACCCCCATTTATGCTCCAGATCTGGATGTCGGAACAACAGCTTGTGGTTAAGATTTTGCGCTTAGGGGTGGACACTAAGGACTTTGTGGTTGAGGAAGGAGGGAAGGAAGGGGGAGTGCGTGAGCCTCGGGCTTTCAGGCCTGTCCGAGGAAACTGAAGTTTATTTACTATTCTATTTTATTGACTCGTTTTACATCCGGACTTTCTCCTCACTGGGGACCCGAAGCGGCTCACGTTGTTTCTTTCCGCTCCTCCGTTTTATTCTCACAGCCACCCCGTGGGGCAGGTTAGGCTGAGAGTGCATGCCTGGCCCATGGTCTCCCAAGCAGAGCAGGAAACCGAACCCAGGGCTCCCTGGAATTTTTGAGACTGCAATGGCCAATCAGAAGCCCTGTTGGGCAAAAGCCCCACCTGCTTTCCAAAATACTTGGCGGGAGCCAGAAAAGGTGTCTGTGGGCACCACGTTGGGGAACCATGTCCTAAGTAGAAGGAAGAAGAGGAGGAGAAGAGCTGGATTTATACCCCCACCGTTCACTACCCGACGGAGTCTCAGAGCGGCTTACAATCACCTTCCCTTCCTCTCCCCGCAACAGACACCCTGTGAGGTAGGTGGGGCTGAGAGAGCTCTGAGAGAACTGTGACTTACCCAAGGTCACCCAGCTGGCTGCATGTGGAGGAGGAGCGGGGAATCGAACCCGGTTCTCCAGATTAGGGTCCACCGCTCTTAAGCACTACACCAAAATGGCCCTTGCTGATGGGATACTGCTCCGGGACAGATTTAAGGCTAAATTCAGACATATTTCAGGGCAAGGAAACTAAACTTATGTATGCTGCCTTTTTGTTTTCCTTTCGAACCCTGAACAGCCACTTCTTGCTCAGGCTTGCTTGTGACTGTTTTGTCTTGAGCACACAAAACATTAAATAGTCACGAGTTTTCATCTGGAGGGAACCCGTTGTCTACATACCTCCTCAGCCTCTGCCTCCAACTATAATTTAAAAAAATCAACTTCTGTTTGTATTAGGAAGAATTGATAACTCACCTCATGCTCATGGGCAGTCTGTCGTGCTCCTTCTGGGGGGGAAAAGAGAGCAAAAGATATTGTAAAAATGGGGGGGTGGAGCGGCCCAGAGGTACATTCCATGACACTTTTCCCCAGCTACAGCGATAACAACAAATAACAATAATAATAACAGTAATATGCCTTGGAGTCACAGCCAAATAACATGCAGGTTTCCAGGCAAGAGATGAACAGATGTGGGCTGCCATTACCTGCCTCTGCATAGCAACCCTGGGCTTCCTTGGTGGTCTGTCTCCTGGCCAGGGGTCATTTCCTGCAGGAGCGCACAGGAGTGGAGCTCCGGCAGTAAAGCGCCAAGGGGGCGGGCACATGCAACAAGCCCCACCCCCTGCTCCCAGCAGCATTCAGTCAGAGCAAGAAGCAGCCAGGTAAATTGCAGAGCCTGCCCCCCCCCCGTCCAAAACAGTCCAGTGGCACCTTTAAGACCAAGTTTTATTCAGGTACAAGCTCTCCCTCCTCTGCGAGGACAGATCTGCACGTTCCCCCCCCCCCAATAGCTAGCAATCCAAAACAGTCCAGTGGAGCCTGAGCGGTGGGTGTTGCCTTCTGACACACTTCCGGCGATGTCAGGGGGTGTGGCATATGCAAATAAGCTGTGCTAATGAGTTATGCTAATGAGCTCCTGCACCTCTTTTTCTACGAAATGACCCCTGCTCCCGGCCAAATACTAGCCAGGGCTGACCCTTCTGAGCTTCCGAGATCCAATGAGATCGGGGCAGCCTGGGCTGTCCAAGTCAAGGCAAGTGACTTCAGGGGCGGTCCGCCATCGCCTGCCTCTGTGTCGCAACCGTTGACTTCCCGGGTGGTCTCCCATCCAAGTGACAACCCAGGGTTAACCCTGTTTAGCTCCCGAAATCCGACAAGACTGAGCATGTATAGAAGAAGAGGAGATTGGATTTATACCCCATGGCCCTTCACTACCCAAAGGAGTCTCAGAGTGGCTTACAATCTCCTTTCCCTTCCCCTCCCCACCACAGACACCCTGTGAGGTGGGTGGGGCTGAGAGGGCTCTTCCG